CCACCCACACTCACCCACCCACCCATTAGCGCAATCCCTGCAAGATTGATAAATAAAACACGATGGAACCACTCTAATCGTGCACAAGAGCTCTTACGACAGATGTCTGTCGTGATCTGTGAGACAAAGAGGCTATTACGTGTTTGCTACATACTGCAACACAAATTAACAATCGTGATTCACAAAAAAAGTTATGTTCACGTGCTTCATAGAAATTACTGGCTATGTGACGATTACCGATTTATGTCTACAAATTATCCAAAGAATCAACAACAGCCAATAATGATTTGTCTTAGTAGCAACGTTCTCTTAGTTAAAACTCGTATGATCATCCTCAATTATGAGCTTCAACGGTTTAAGTGAATCAGCACCCAATGAATGTTATTTGTCTTCTGAGGTCGACAATTACGGACTTCATATACGCCTGTAAACGACTGTATACGCTTCCTATGCAACCGTAAGCGGTCGTATTTTAGCGGTTTATATGGTCCAGTAGTACGATCGTATATCACCGTGACCGTATACGGAGGAATCCAATCACATAAGGCGAAATACAAAGCAAAACGGAGTCCATACACGAACTCCGTATACGAGGATCGTAAGCAATCGTTTCTTTCATCGTACAGCGTTGTATTCCTCCATATACGATAGGGAGATATACGACCATAATACTGGCTCATGTTAAACGCCGTATTTCTTCGTATATGGTCGTTTACGACTGTGCTTGTTTGACCTGGGTTTTTAACTGTGTCTCTATATGAGCAACAAAACATTCTTTGTGAAAAAGATGATATAAGCAGCTTTGTTTGATTGAGATTTTTATTCATGTTTTAACTACACGTGTATCGCTAGTATTTATTTCAGTTTCCTGACATAATGCTGATATTTGTTCGCACGATCGACGGAGAAACAATACCGCTAGAGGTGCAATTCAGTGACACAATTCTAAGTATCAAAGCAAAAATACAAAGTCAAGAAGGTATTCGGATAGATATACAACAAGTAACATTCGCAGGCAAATCACTTGAAGATGGTCGATCACTATCCAGTTATGAAGTTCATGAAGAATCGACTCTTCATCTTGTTCTACGTAAGTGTTTTAGACAGATTACATTTATCAGAATAATGCTAAGAAACTGGTTCCATGTTAAACAAATCTCTGATGTATATGCAAATGCCTTTTTCATTGAAGAATGCGTTAAGTTACACATTTTCTTGACTCCGAAAATTTTGATATGCAGCTAGAGGTAGAGAAATGTGAAATTACTTCTCTAGCCCCGATCCTGATCCTGTGATTCCGAAACAAAGAGCACATTTTCAAAATTCGATATCGGTTTTTCGATAAGTATGGACATGTGTTTCATTAAGAATGATGATTGATTTCATTTGCGTTGTATTTATCTTGTTTGTAGTTCTCACACAGGTCATATACAGTAATTAAATAACATACTACTTTTTTTTTGACTTCATGCCGGGTGTAAGTGGGTGTGGGTATCGATTAAGTGAACTACACCAACACACAGACACACCCACGCCCAGAACCCACACCCTCCAAGAGAGGATATATGTTCTAGGGTGGTTTTAGGTTGCATTCGTTTTTCTCAAATACTAATAATTGAAAACGTATACAAGAAAATCGTAATATTTTCGAATAACTGAACGAATTGTTTCGAATTAAAAATGTGTATTGATTTTTGTGGCATCAGCCTTCATTCATTATTAGAAGAAAATCTTGAAAGCTAGAAATATCTTTCATTTACGTAATATGATGACTCAATTTATAGATTCTTTGTTATTAGAAGTAACGTGCATCGATAACCGATACGCTTGACCATAGACTGGCGGCATCGAGCTAAGCTTATAAGCAATTCTAGATATAGGCACTCTTTAAGAATGATGCCAGAAAAACGCAAGAAATGGCTTGATATATAATGGCAAGTCCTTTGGCAAAACCAGTTTTTCTAATAATATAAAATGGTAATTTATGCCATAGAGACCATCTTTTCGATCATATAAATGCTCGTTTTGACCACCGAAGTGATCATTTCTACCCTAGACACGACTATTTGTACCATCAAAATGATCATCTGCACCATATAAACGGTTATTTCGGTCCTAGAAAATGGTGATTTGTGTCATAGTTACCATATATTGGGTGTTGCCGGCGGGTAGGCAGGCAGTCACAGATGAGTTTCCGTTTCTAGATCCTATCCTTTCAGTCCAGGGGAAAAAACTTAAAAAAAAGTTCTTATATTCAATCTCAGACATCAATTGTTTGGTGAATCCTTTCATACGCAGAGTCTTTTATTATAAGTGGAGTAGAAGTCTAGATGACGCAGAGATATCATCATATCCATAAGCTGGGTATCCGCAAGTTACTAATATCGGCGCCAGAAGTCAGTGCACTCGAATGTTTTTTGAATAACTTTCGATAGGACCAAGTTACAGACCTGCGGTTTTCAGCATTTCATAGCCAAGACCCAGGAGCATATTTTCATAAGCAAAATCTTTACTGAGAAAAAAATTCGAAGATCGATTTTTCAGCGGATCTTTGGAAAACGACTCTGGATTTCTGAAAACTGTCGTAGGAGTATATTGACTTTTTTTAATATTTGGAATCAGCATCGAAAACTGAGTGGATTCATGTATGGTTCGAATCTTTTCATGAACTTTGTTTTTTCATCGAAAAATTCGTTCCCAGTCTCCCCGACGGGTAGGTAAAAAATGAATTCAGTCAAAAAGGCACTTAGATAGTAGAAAGCACGTTCAGAGGTTATAAAATGCTAGAAGAACAAAAAATGGCAAATGAATAAATAATAAAAATGTCGTTTTGACTGAGTTTATCTTTTTATCTGTCCGTCAGAGAGGGACTAGGGACGAATTTTTCGACCGAACAAAAGTTCATGAAAAGATTCGAACCATACATGAATCCACTCAGTTTTTGATGCTGATTCCGAATATGTCAAAAAATCAATATACTCCTACGACAGTTTTCAGAAATCCAGCGTCGTTTTCCAAAGATCCGCTGAAAAATTGATCTTCGAATTTTTTTCTCAGCAAAGATTTTGCTTATGAAAATATGCTCCTGGGTCTTGGCTATGAAATACTGAAAACCGCAGATCTCTAACTTGTTCCTATCGAAAGTTATTCAAAAAACATTCGAGTGCACTGACTTCTGGCGCCGATATTAGTCACGATATCCAGTGAAATGAATACCCAAAAAAATTGGATACCCTATTTTTAAAAAGTGAGGAATTTTAGTGAATTTGATGTAACGAGATGGATACCCTATCTTTAAAAAGTGAAGAATTTGAGTGAGCTCGAAGTAACTACGCGGCTGTCGATGGAAACTAACTTTGAATCATTCTCCAAGACTTCTGGTTGAACTGAAAACTAAATAAAACATACTGGAATGTACAGAGAATCTTACCCTGCGGCAACATTGCGGTTTATTTAATATATCTTTGATGAAACAATGTACTCAATCAATTGTTCCGCAGTTAGTGGACTAGAGTTAAGCGTTTCGACTTTGCTACCAAACCGACATATCCAAGCTGGATTTCACGTAAAGCACCCTAACACCGGTCGATAACAAACTTTAAATAGCAAAATGTTTTTAAAGAATTCTTTTGATATAATCTTGGAGTACAGTGAATACGCTCAAGTACAGCATTTTTGCTCTTTCCACCTGGCCACCAACACACGACAACACACAAACATCACAGCACCTGGTGTGAGTGCCGCGAGAGAACTAACACACGCGACAGTAAGGGTATGGGTGTGGGTGTCGGTGGGTGTGGGTGTGGGTGGTGTGGGTGTGGGTGTTATTCATCTTTTGACACGCCCACACCCACACCCACACCCACACCCTGCTAGAATAAACTAGTCTTATTGAGATCTTTCTCTATGCAAAGTTTCAAACAAAAATTCGAAAGTTGATTTTTCAGATGTACCTGAAGGGAGACAACGGCGCGTTGCGCTGAAAAATGTCCGAAAAACTAAATATCTCGACAAAAATAAACTACGGACACAAATTCTTTTTCAGGACGTTCACAGCTTCTTAGGGCCCATATGATGCACATAGTCTCGACTCAAAAATGAATCGACACCTGGAATATTAGTCCTGAGCCCCCTCTTTTGCCGTTTTGATTTCTTTTAAAGTAAAACGTATTCTTTTTTCATTGGCTGCTAAGGAAATAGAAAATGTTGAGTTCCTTTTTTGTTAAAAAAATATTACCCATGGGCATCTTGAACAGTGATCACAAAATTACAAAACAGAAATAAGCGAAGAATACCTATAAAAAAACACTCATTTCGTAACAAAGTTACTTTATTCTTTTGTACTGTGCATCAGATATTCACAGTAAATAAAAGAAAAGAACGATCTCGTTAACTGCTAGTAGTAGTATTAACAAAGAAGGAGAAAGAAAGAATCAGAAACGCATGTTTGTTTTGTTTTGTCTCTCGGTTATCATTAAAATGATTTTTAGATTGAGGATGCCCCTCATTCATTCACCGTAAACAATTATAAAAGTTTCTCTTTTTCTTGTCTGATTATGTCATACTCGACTGTTCTTTTTGTCTATTTTAGTTTATCCATTACGTGCAGCTTCAATCGCTATTCAATCGTATGCTCGATGGCAACAGAATGGTATCAGTGTGGCTGGAGGAAATGGATATGGCAATGGAATCAATCAACTCTCATACCCATGCGGTTTGCATGTTGATGATGAGCAAACGGTTTATGTCGCTGATCATGGGAATCACCGAATTGTGGAATGGAAATCGGGGGCAACGAGTGGCCAAGTGGTTGCCGGTGGAAATGGCAGAGGAGGGGGGGGGCGAATCAGTTGTCTTATCCATGGGATGTGATTGTCGACAAAGAGACAGATAGTCTCATCATCTGCGACATTGGGAATAAAAGAGTGGTTCGATGGCCTCGTCAAAATGGGACAAGTGGAGAAACGATCATCTCCAGAATCTCTTGTCTGGGTTTGACAATGGACGAGAATGGATCTCTCTATGTCGTTGACGGGGAAAAACATGCAGTGAAACGATATCGAAGAGGAGAATCTCAAGGAACAGTGGTTGCAGGTGGCAAGGGAAGTGGAAATCGTCCTGGTCAACTATCTTCTCCCAAATACGTATTTGTTGATCTAGATCATTCAGTTTACGTCTCTGATGAGGAAAATCATCATGTGACGAAATGGGTGGAAGATGCAAAACAAGGCATTGTCGTGGCTGGTGGTCAAGGACAAGGGGATGATCTTACACAATTGAAATCTCCTTATGGAGTCGTTGTCGATCAATTTGGCACTGTCTATATGGCTGATGCAGGGAATGATAAAATTATGCGTTGGCCCAAAGGAGCCACACAGGGAAGTGTCATTATTGGTGGAAACGGTAAAGGAGGACAATCGAACCAATTCAATCAGCCCCTTGGTTTGTCATTCGACCGACACGGTAATCTCTATGTCGTCGATTACGTAAACTTTCGAGTACAAAGATTTAATATCGAATGAACTCATTATGACGATGAATATTATATTTTTTTATTCTCTTTCTCTTACAAATAAAACGCGATTGAATAAAAAAAAAGAATTCATTGTTATTCTATTCGTACGAGCGGGAAGACTCAAATCATCCACATGCACCCATCCGATGACATGTGTCAATAAGTCTGGTGGTTTGGTCGTGTGCCATGGACACTAAGACAGTTCCTGGCCGGGCTTTTAGGGACTACCCAGAAGTCCTTCAGATAACGTGAATCTGATCTTAATGGACATAACTGACCCCTCTCCTTACTAACACTCACTTTGTTGAGTCTGGTCCTATTCTTATCTGAAAGAAAAAAAAAATACTCACTCCTTGATGTAAGAGGAAGTGATGCGATGATGTTGATGGCTAAAAGGCAAAGAAAAAAAAATTAAAACAAATACCTACATTTTAATTTATTGTCTTGATTTGAATTGAGTTGTTTAATTTTGATATCGTCGAAGTCAATCTAAAAAATAAAAAGAAAGAATTAGTATTTGATTCAATAAATTAAATGATTTTTACATAGAAAATCATTCATATTTATATTCTAAAAAATCGATCAATTTTTTTTTCGGCCGAGAGTGACATATTCATTATGTCATATTATCATTAATCATCAATGATCAGTTCAAAAAATCATACTTGGTGATAAGACGTCTTTTTCGCATTGCTCTTTTCGCATCATACGTTGCTTCGTTTTTCCTTTTCTGAACGGAAGCAACTGCTTCGGGTTTTGACACCCGTGACTCACTTTAACAAAAGAGTTCTAAAATGAACTCAAACAAACAAAAAAGACATAATCGTTTCGATAGAAACTGAATCGGACTTAATGATGGAAATAAAATAATAGAAGACAACAATCAAAATAATGATGGCATACATGTCCAGCAACAGTCACCAGTAGGGATGCAACGGTGACGATTAATCACCGGTTAACCGTCGCCGTTTCACCGGTCCGAACCGGTTACCGTACCTACTACGGTAACCGTACCTACGGTTACCGTATCTACTACGATAACTGTAGGTACAGTTACCGGTCAAACTACAATAACCGTAGGTACGGTTACCGGTTCAAACCATTGTCAAGAAAAACAGCATTTTAGAAAAAAATAACGATATCTTGTAAAGGTTGACAAAAGTAAATCGGGGTCGGAGAATCTGAATCTGACATAAGTTTTTGAAAATTTTGAAATGAATTTTTTCGACAAAGGAAAAGTTTTGTTTAGAAAAAAAACGATAGTTTTGTAAAGGTTGACGAAAGGAAATCGAGGTCAGAGAATCCGAATCTGAAATCAGATCGCTGCACGTTTCAACTTTCACTTTCCAAGACTAAACCGCTTCTTGAAAATCGTGTTTTTTTCTCGAAAAATTTATTCCTGAAAAACATTATATGTGAAGACTAAAACTCATATTTTAAAAAACTGACCTCAGATTCGGATTCTCCGACCCGGATTTACTTTCGTCAACCTTTATAAAGTATCGTTATTTTCTTAAAAAACCTTTCCCTTTGTCCAAAAAATTCATTTCAAAATTTCAAAAACTGACCTCAGATTCGGATTCTCCGACCCCGGTTTACTTTCGTCAACCTTTATAAGATATCGTTATTTTTTTCTAAAATGCTTTTTTTCTTGACAATGGTTTGAACCCGGTAACCGTACCTACGGTTATCGTCACCGTTGCATCTCTAGTCACCAGCTTCAACAGAAGAAACACCTGTTACACCATCGAATTATAGGCAACAAATGCATTTTCTTGAAATAAACGGTCAATTATATGCCCCAATTGATCAAGATTATCGCATCAAACAAAAGATTCACAAACAAACAAACAAATATGTTTACGACGAAGAACCACCAATGGCTATGATGATTCATCAATGCGAGAAACACATAGCCAATAATAATAATAAAAATAATAACAGTGATTTTGTCGATGCAAATGAAATAATAACAACTGACAACTGTAGGCATCTTCAGGACAAGCCTGTATCTACCCCCAAAAAGAAACATTAATCAATTTAATCGATCGAATGAACAAAGAAAAAAGATAAGAAATGAAAAGGTAACTTGCAGCAACAACCAATGAGGAACATAACAAATCTAAATACAACGTCCAGTAAACAAAATTTAAACACCTTGCTGGTAAATGATCGAACAATAGCAACTCAATTAAATGCAGCCAAGTCATATGCTATTCCAATTAAACAATTAAAACGAGCCATTGGATACAATTTGTCGTGTTTCATAATTGAATTTGATAACAATGTGGCTGCACGTGATCTTCCATCGGCAAGGATGTGGGTGTGGGTGTGGATGTACGTATGAGAACAAGAGTAACATCCACACCCTACACCCACACTCACACCCCAGCTGTCACCCACACCCTCACCCACACCCCAGCTACCACCCACACCCTCACCCACACCCCAGCTACCACCCACACCCTCACCCACACCCCAGCTACCACCCACACCCCAACTACCACCCACACCCACACTCTTATTTTAATGCCTTAAAATTAAACTCTATAAGGAATTTTTTTAAGTAATCTACTTATTTGTAAATCATGGCTTTATTAGTATATTTTATTTAACCGCTATTAGTTCCTTTTTTTTGAGAAAATTAAAACGACTATAATGTCTTCTGTCCTGTCCTGTTGCTCAACAGGGCGAAAGTTTGACTCAGAATAAAAGAGAGAGATAAGATAAGGGTCACTAATTCATAGTTTTATCTTTGTATCAATATAAACCAATATTGAAACAAAAATTGACGTAAATTTAAAGAACTAATACTCTGATAAAGTTTTCATAAAATAAAGTACGAAAAAAAAATTTGCAATGTGATGGTGAAATATTTTTTTTGTTCTTCAGTAGCATTTTATATAAGAAGCAAACACATATTTTAATTCATGTTTTAGGTAAAAAACAGAATTAAACTTTATAGAAATTTTGTCAAAAAATCAACGAATGAATCAAAGATATTTTTATTTGAATTTACGAAAAAAAAGCACACATGAAAAGAAATTCACTTATCACGTAAAATAGTAGATTTCAACGAGAGATTTCTAAAAATACCACAGAAACACAATTAAAGCATCTCGAGCAAATCAGTATTTATCTTATTTGTAATCATTCCCTAAATGAATAATTTAAATTTAAAATAAAAATTTAATAACAATATCTTTAAAAGCAATCTTCTAGAATCTAATAGAAATAAAAGAAACAGAAACTAATTTATTATTTTGACATTTGTTTTATTAAATTCTTTTAGTAATAAAACTTTTGAAAGAACCAAAATTTCGTAATAGGTTGAGCAAGTTCTAAAAACGGTTACGAAAAAATCTACTTCAAATAATATTTTCGCCTGTAATTGTCAATAAATGACTTTCTACATACTGATGACAAAGCATATTTTTAATAGAAGAAATCTCATGATTTTAGTTGGTATAAGAAAGCAAACGAATGCCACTTATTCGATTAAAGAAGTTTGACAGCGCAGCTCCTTGGAAACTGAAATGCGGACCTCACGTATATCCTTCTAACTTCTTATTCTGACAATCATTTACAAAATGAAAAATAGTTATTTTCTAGTGATTATGAGAGCATTGAAATATTCTATAGAATCTGGAGCTTTTCGTGCGTGATTGCTATGGTCTGTAAAATGGGAAAGAGTCACAAAGCTCTGGCCTTGAAACTTAAACTTACTATTTTCTTCGAAAACATACGTCAGTTTCACAATACGAAAAGAATCACGACTACATTGAATGTTTGATAGTGATTCCAATGCATAGACACATTTCATTAATGTTATTTCAATGTCTGATCTATTTGATGTGAAAGGGATGCATATGCATCAACAAAAAATTTTGTTTTCATCAATGTAAAAACAACTCACTGAGTGTGTTGCCAGAGAACAGAATAAACAATTCATGTTGAATACTTTTTTCACTCATTGATTATACATACGCAATGCAATTCGTGTCAACTTTGTTTTTCATCATCTTTTTCTCTTATGTAGAAGGTTTGCTAATTTATCTCCTCATTTCAATGTTTTATTTTAAGGACAACTTTTAGGTCAAACTACACCAGCATCTAATTACTATTGTAATGGAAATAATAATACCGTTCAATTCACGTTGTCTTCTTCATCCCATTCGGCATGGGAACCAACCTTAAATTGTTCTTTACAAACATGTAATACTAGCTTAAACGATAATAATTGTCATTCGTCATTGACACCTTGTTTCTATTATCGTACTCTCAACAATACTAGTTATTGTGCACCTGGTATTCTATGTTCTATTTTGGAATCATGTGACAATATTACCTATAGCTGTTCATCAAATAGTTCTGTATGTATAGTAAACTCATGTTGTTCACCACGAGCAGTATGCTTACCATTGTCATCGATAAATTTCTGTAAATCAGGTAAAAAATGTCTGTTCTTTAAATTTGTGAATATATAAGAATCAATTAAAATATGCTATCTGGATTATAGTTGCGACTTGAGTCGGTTTTTACTAAAACAACTTAAGTCAAAAAGATCAAACTAAAGATGACAATGAAAAGAAAAGTTGAAAGAGATTGAAGTTCTCCATATATAAAATAATAAGAGACTAATATGTTAGTTTACATTGACTAATAAAAAAAGTGATGGGCGCTGCACTACTTCAGTCTTGTTTATGCTTTTTGAAGAGAAGCTAATCAAAACAGTTTTCAGTGGAAGTGAAATGAGTAATTTATATGATTTCATTCATAGAAACAGTTATTTTTATGATTAAAAAAATTCAAAAAACAGTTTTTGAGTTTTTTTCAATTATTCAACCAAGACACTTCTTTATTCTTCAAGATTTCACAAGAAATCAGCCTTCTCAGTATGAAGGAAGGCATGTTTTAGATCAGATACACTTACATTTTTTAAATGAAATGGTTTTATTAATTGCAAGATGATTGTCTTTAGCTTCATTTTAAAAATAATATGCTCTAAGAACAAAAATATTTGAAAGTAAACTTGTGACATTTATAGATAAAAGACGTAGATTGGGAATTTTCTATATGGATCAGGTTAGGTCAGCAAAGGCTATTTAAGAGTGTCCTATCAAACATGTATTTCTCAACGGTCACGAAATTATTGTCCATTTTAATATGATTCCTTAAAACAAACTTTTAATGAAGAGTTTCTCATGCTGAACCACAACTTTGGTATATTTTTTAGTCTTTTCTGTACTATCTCTATCTTTTTATAATAATCAATCACTATTCCGCCCTAAATGATTGAAGAATTGTTACCTTCTTTCAAAAGTTTTTATCATAGCTTAAAATTATTAGAAGCTATCTTCGATAAGATATTGAGATTACAATGACGAACAAATAACACCTATGTTCGTTCCAACTTTTCCCCATGTCGCTAAAACCGGTGTAAAACCGTCGGTTAACCGTTCGATCAATCGGAGTTAACCCCGATTAACCGGCGGTTCTTTTTCGGGATATATTTTTACTTCATATTGAATAAATATTTTTAACTCTTAGAAAATGATCAGGATTCAGTCGAAATCGCGTTTCCTGTCACTTGTAAATGTGCTGAAGCTGTCGGTATTAGCCACATCAGCTAATTTTGCTTAATTTACGAGTTTGAATATTATCATTAAAGATGACGCTAGAAAAACCACTATAAGTTAGAAGATTAACGAATAGAAAAATCTGTACTATCATCTAAAATAATTTACTGAAAGAGACTTAAAATCGATGTTTTTGATTAAAAAATGATTGTCTCAGAAAGACCAACAATCCATAAAAAAAGGAATGAACTGGTCGAAACAGCGATTTTTTCATGAACCGCGGTTAACCGACGGTTTTAATAAAAAAGAGGCGACATGGGGTCTATTAGAGGGTCCGATGTTCGACCTTCTTTTAGTTTATTTCAAATCAAAAAAATGTCTGCATACACACGTACAATTGTACAGCTGTCTGCCCTTGTATATGGAAAAAAAAGAATATATATATATATATATATATCGACTACCCAGATCAAGGGTCAAACTTAAAGACAAAATAATAAAGAGTGATCAAGGTTATATAACATCAGAAAAGATCTAACAACAAGAAATAGAAAGAAAAGAGAAAAAGAAATACTATAGAAAAAGTAACAACAAGGAGGTGAACTCGCTAACAGTCGACCCCCCTAAAAAAGGATGTGTGTCCGCACACATAAATAACAAATAACAAAAATAGAAACAACAAGAGAAGAAATAAGAAGAGTACAAAGAAAACAAAAACTAACGTTCATGAAAAATAAAACTCACACATGTTCAACATCATACAAAAGAAAATAACGAAAACGTGTTACCTATATAGACGATGATAATGTTGTTCCGTCAAGATTCGGTCATGTAATAGTTTTTCCACCTCATCCACCATTGCTTGATTCTTGAGTCCAATAAATAATTTGTGTCGGACCATATTAATATTAATATAAAATATATTCACTGATCTTAATGTTCTTTTGATTCTTGTAATGCTGAATAATCGATAAACCGAACGGATAACTTCATAGCGATATCGATTTATACGATGTCGGCGGTTTGTCTTTCGATTTCGTATTTGCTTGGGTGTTAATGTTGTTGTTGTTGGATTTGAACCTAAATGATGAGAATTTCTTACCTGATGTAGTTCATTTATTACATGAACTGTCATCTGTTGAATTGATGACTGTTCATTATGATGTTGTTGTAGATGTGGATGACTTGGTTCATGATAAAAATAAACTTTCATAATTTCAGGTAAGGATCATGTATCCATATTATCACCAGGTTGAAGTTCGATAACATCTTGTGCCACATATGTTGTATTAATATCATTTGATTCATAAGGTTGATCGTTTATTTGTCGAGTTGGTTCAATATCTTCGTGTGGTTGATATGATAATTCATTTTCATTAGTTTCTTCTAGTTCATCTGTAACATGAACTATTAATTCTTCATGTAGTGGTTGTATATCAATTGATAATTCTTGTTGTACATTGAAATCTTCTTCATCTTCAGATATATCTTCATAATAACTTGTTGGTAAAAATTGTATTAAATTCAATTTGTACGATAATTTATTAACAGCAAAAACATCATTCATTGCATATTCGTTTAATATTGATATATATATTTTTTTCTTCTTTAATTCGATATGTACGTTCAGGACCAACTACGTCTAATGGCAAATAAGTACCTAATGCTAAATCAACGCCGCATGCCCATTCAGCTAATGTGGCTGTTTTGTTAAAATATTCTGTAAATTCATGTTTAATAATTATTTGTAGTGCTGTTTTTTTATCATTACTGTATTCATCTTGTATATTATATTCTTGAATTTTAATGTCAGTATTAAATAGGTTAAATGAATTTAATTTTCCAAGTTCTTGTAATGCTGAACCCCATAAATAAATATGATTATTGGATGTAAATATCATTGTACATAGTTGTTGTATTTTCNATCAGATTGATATTGAGATTTACATAACGATAGGGCTTAAAAATCTATGAAATATGAAAGAACATGTGTAACTATTTACTTCTTTCTTCAACTTTACTAGCTAACCCAATACAACCAACAAGTAGTTTATACAGATCTCAAAAGTATCTTTCATATGATATGGAAGGTTGTGGAATGTGAATCTTCTCTTCACAGACACCCATGCCCTTAGCTAGTAACTGAATAACATACAATGATTCAATTGTCTGAGAAGTTATTACTCTGATATTGAATTTATGAAGTCAGTTCTTCATCTTATCTAATTCTGTGTAATTCTACGATATCTCAGCTATAGAAGCTTCGATCGGACTCAGATTTTAATGGGTGTGGGTGCCCTTGTAGATGAATATCAAAAGAACACCCACACCCAAGACTCGAACTAGATCCATATCTAATTGCAAACGAAAGCATCTCAATCTAATTTTTTTAACAATAAGATGCGATGAGAATTGTCGAGAGAGGGGCTATTAAATGTTTACGACAAAGAATAGAATGGTAATACGAGGCCATGACTTCAAAAATACTTGACCATTGCTGGTTTGTCTGATTCGTCTAATCTTTATATGACTCATATTGTTGTCTCTGTGAGTGGCGAACAATCAAGAGATGAACTCATTTGATTCGACACTCGCTGATGCGTTTAAATATATTAAATCGTATACTGTAGAAATCAGATCGTTTTGTGTCCATAAATGGATTTTTCATGTAATCTGCTTCAAAAAAATAAAATTTCACACGCTTACTGATTATGCTCTCGCTTTTGCTAACTTTAGACATTTTTTAAATCTATTTAAATTTTCTTATGTCTAGTTGATAGTATTCATAACATAGAAGAATATTAAACTTCATGATAGACACAGAGAAATGCATATATAATGAAAGAAAAAAAAGAGTCTATCGACAATCTAACACATTTTTAGGATAATCACAAAGTTGAGTACGAAAATTGAATATTGTCATTTCAGGACATTCACTTTTTGATCTATAATGATATAAAATATTAAAAAATATCGATATTTTTATGCTCACTCTCTTTATCAATTACCTTCGTTGGCAATCAATAAATCGTCGACAATTTCCTGGATAACGAATTCTTACTGGATTTGGTTCTATTTTGGGACAAGGATCAACTAAAATAATAAAACGAAGATTTATACAGAAATTTCTTTACTTAACTAACCACATAGTTTATTCTCATCAGGTACATATTGAAATGCACATTCACATGCACCATCACGACATTCTGCATTATCAGCACATTCAGCAGTTGCTGTCTCACAAATAGCACCCGGATCACCACGACATTTATGTCCTAATGGATAATATCGGTAATTTAATGGACATGAACATATTGATGGAACACTCGTTTTATTACATATAAGATTAGCTCGACAATCAATATTACTTTGACATGAAGCATGATAATCACCATCTATATAAAAATAAACAATAATACTTCATTTTAGAATGAAAAAAAAATGATTTACTTACAACATTGTTTTTGTTCAGTATCATAGCTATATAATGTCTGACAATGACAACGTCTTGTTCCATCTTCCATACCTGAACAAAGCATATATCGTTGACAATCAGTATCTTTTCTACATAATGCATTTAGATTACCGACTAGAATAAAATCATTCTGTTTCTTTTTTATGAAAGCATCATGTACTGATTTACTCACTACATTGATTGTTAACTAAATCATATTTTAATGGACATCGACAGATACCCGATAATAATAATGATGATGATGATATTTTCTTGTAACATGTAAACGGTCGCTTACAATCATTATCATGATGACACGATTCACCATATCGAGCAACTATAAGCAATTCGAGGAATGCGTTTAGATAAGTGTGGTTAATAATAATTTTAATTACCTCCATCAATAATATCATTAGTAGTATCAGTCATTGTTACTTCTCCATAGAAAATCAGTGATCGTCCTAGTTATAAAAGAATATTTGTATTCATTTATTTGAGTTTCATTACAAAATTAGTTTTAATAGACGCATAGATTACCTTGAAATCCCCATAATAAAAGACATATAACAATAAGTAAACCACACATGATAATAACATATAAAATTAAAAGACAGCTCAGTATACGACGTTCTTGTGATAAACGTTTGAAACGAAATCGTAGTCTACAATAATCAGATTCTCTTTTAAGTCAAGAACAAAAAAAAGAATAACATATAACTGAAATACATTTGAAGCTGTTCATAAACGGAAGCATTCGATTTAGTTGATGAGAGAATCGTTCTAGTACCATTATCATGAATTTGATCGATATTTGGATCAACTAGTGAGTCTTTTATATTATCTTTTATGTTTTGATGAATAGATTCATTTTCTTTTTCAATAGGATTTAAGATTAAATCTGTTTCTATGGCTTTGTCACAATATTCAACAGATTCTTGATCCGATAATATTTGTTGTTTTGGTTCATTTTCTATCGTTATTGCATCATTATCATGATATAATTCAAATTGAGGAAGCGGTAAATCTACTTGATTTGCTTGATCAATTCGTTCGACATATGTATTTAATAATACTGCTTCATTTATTTCTGTTCCAATACATTCATCTTTGAAATAATCACAAATTATTTGTTCGTTTTTCGGTTGTTGTTTTTCAAGTGAACGATGTTGAAGATCTATTCCACTGAATTGTTCAGATTGAACCGTACAAATCGATTCAATGTCTTCATTTTTTGATATTTTCTGTTTTTGTTTGATTCTTCGATCTTTTTGTATATATGGATACTGTTGACCGAGATATGTATTGCGAGCTTCGCACCATCGCTTTAAACTTTTCTCTGACATTTCAGGAATATGTATTGTAGGTGAATGTAATAAAAGTTTTTTTTGATTAATATGATAAGATAATCGTTTAACTTTTGAATTACGAGAAGAATGACGATAGTCTTCACTGACCAAACTTCCATTGTCTATTTCTGAAAATTATTAATAAACAAGAAATTAGTTAATTAATCAAGGATGCTTTCTCAAAAAAGAAATTTGATTTTTGAACATCCAAGCTTCATTAAATTTCCAACGGATATATATATATATATCGAAAGCTAGGCACCTCACAGTACAAATTTCAGCTCGATAAGTTGAGTCAACAAAGAGTTAACTTAAGATTATGGATCAAAATATCGGCAGAACGATTAGTTTTTAAAAAACATAAAAGCAAAAAAATCGAAAATTCAACTCTATTACGCTGTAATGGCAAAGAAATCTGGGACGCACGGAAATGTCAAAATCAAAAACTCTATTGTTCTATGTTTTTTCCTGTTGGATTAATTTACTATGGTTAACGATATTTGATAGTCATGTTCATTACCACCAAAAGTCAACAGAAAAACTTTAAAGACTTTAAAAATAAAAGTTAAGAGCTCTATTTTCTGAGAGAGACTTGAAGACACTTTCCTTTCCCGAGTTTCTCAAAAAACTGATGACATTTTCAGAATAGATAGATATCGCTTAATACAGTAACAGTTATCATCGACTCAGAACTTCCGAATGCTTTCTTCGCTTAGCGGAACCAAAATGCTAAAAGCTCTGTCAAAAAAAAGTGATTTTTTTTCTTGAGAGCAAATTTTGTAACATATGCTATAGATCATAAGAGTATTATTTTAAGAAAAAGAGAAAAGAAAAACACTTCGATTTAATTCTAATTATCATACAGAAAGTATCAGCTCAATCGATCGAAGTGTCTTTGAGAAAAATGCGAAATGATTCATACTTTTCGCTATTTCTGTTACGTAAATTTGATTTCTTCTCAAATTTCTTAACGTCAAGAGACAATTTTTAGATCCCAGAATGTGTCCTTAAATATGAATATTCAATACACTTACGTCGTTTTGATTTATCTGTATGAATACTTTGACTTAATGATACTGAATCACGGTCACTCATATGATGATATTTCCAATCGTCACGTTTCCATGAAGGAAGTAATTTCAATTGCTGATGTTTTTCTTGCATTTTATTTATATATATACTGATACTAAATTTTTCAGATAGACGATGTTGAAAGTTGTCTTCGTTATACTATACAAACCTTATCTATTCTTTTCTTTTTCTTTGTGCTTTAATTTTATAGACAATTTTATTGAAGAGATTGAATTACATGTAAGAAACTGATTCGTATGTCCTTCATGATTAACAATTGTGTTTTTGAATAGGATACCATAGAATAAAATGAAATTTTTCTTTTATTGAAGCAATCAAAAGACACATAATCTAACAAAAACAAAAAGTTCAAATGATTCTCTCATATCATTACGTGTTAAGATTTTATCATTTTCGACAGAAATAAACAAAGAATAATGATAATATTAAATAAACAATATGATACAATTTATAACTGAACATTCTCGATGATGACGAAGATAGACTAGCGAAACTTTTTCCAGATGATGGTATTATTGTTTCAGTCCGTGTTAGTTTATCATAATTAAATGATGGATGATTAATCATTGATTTTGACATACCTAATTCATAATTACCACAATAACCATTTAGAATTGGTTGAGCAGGTATTCCTCGTCTAAATAAAAATCAATCATATCAATTTTTAAACTGTTTTTTGTTTTCAAACCTTAAAAGACGACATCGATGAACATCCTAAAGAAAAAAAAAAAATAACTAAAATTTGAGAATATTTGTTAAAATAATAATTTACCAATCGAAATTGAGCTTCTTCTGAATTATTAACATCAGCTGAACTCCATAATCGTTCAGCAACAGCAGCTGCTTTAGGCCAAAAACGTGAAAGTAAATTCGTTCCATCTACAAATTCACCCCAAAGACAAGCTTCACCACCAAGAATTCGTTCTTTTGCTTCATTTGATCCTATAAATTAATTCATATAAATTCTTGAACTATTTATTCAACGAAAAAAAAAAATTGTCACCCGAAAATTGTTGAAGTGGTTCAACTTCATAATATTTAAAAAATTCCAAATTCATTACAGATGCATCTGTATTATACTTTCCATAGCTAATATAATTAATATACCATGGACTTGAAAGTATAACATTATAACCTTCATTAGCTGCTCTATTTAAATATGAAGCCCATGAACTAAATTCAATATTATCACTGGAATCTTTCCATACTTGAATAATAGTACCCGGAGGCAACTAAAGAAAAACCCCCCCAAACAAAATCAAACAATAATTGTACGAAAAAAAAACAAATTTTACTTCAACTTGTTCATCCCAAACATCTTGCCAAACGATGGGCGTAACACTAATATTACGTACAATGTCTAAAATTTGATCTGCATAATATTTATGAAGATTTTTTGTACTCAATATATTATTATCAACCATCCATTGACGAATATTTGGATTCGAAAGCCTGTAGACAAACAAAAAGGACAATAAACTAATTGAAATCTTCTTCTGAATGATCAATTACATACCAACATTTATCATAAACTTCATCCATGCCTTTAGAAAAATGAGAAAAAGTTTTATTTGCGAAAGATTATGTTCTTTTCACATACCCAGATGAATATAATTTGAAGGAAATCGTTCATGAATTTCTCGAAGAAGAGCATCCATAGTTGAATAAACTCGTGGTTCACTTGGATTAAATATTTCCATTTCACCTTGTATTGAATAAATCGATTGATAAGGTTTTCCATGTGCCCAACAAACAGTTATTAATTCAGGCATGGATTTACTCCATGAATATGTATGACCAGGTGTATCAATCTATTATTTAAAAAAGGATAATAATTCATATTGAAATACAATTCAAACAAATCTACTTCAGGAATAACACGAATACCACGTAATCGAGCATGTTCAATAATATCAGCAACATCAGCTGGTGTATAAACATGATCAGGAGTATAAGCACCCTAGAATATTATGTTATACAGATCTCAAGAAATAAAATAGTTATGTTTAAATACTGCTAGCGAAAGATTTGGAAAAGTTTTGCTTTCAAATGGAAACGATTGATCATCTACAAGATGCCAGTGAAATACATTTAATTTATTGTACGACATTACATCCTAATATAATGTTAATATAGAAAAAAACTTATTTATATACTTTATTAAAACTTACAAGATTCTTTTTAATAATTGATACTGGTAAGAAATGTCGTGCTGAATCAAGCATAACACCACGATGACGAAATCGAGGACTATCAATAATGTCTACAGAATTATTGATTACAATCTTAATAAATATAACAAATAAAAATTGATATCATAAGAATGATTAAAACATACATAATTTTGTTCATTGATATAGATTAATTGTGAAAATGTTTCTAGACCACGTAATAAACCCCAAACACTATATGCTTCGACTAAAGCAATTTTTTCGTTGATTGTTAAATTATCTATTAAGATCGAGTAAGAAATTTATTAATTATATTGTCTGTTTTTTACTCACAAGTTTCATTTGAATTGAGTTCAATATATTTCTCACATTGAATATTGCCTTTTATATTCAATGTTAAATTTTGCAAAATATTCTCCATATTTGATGATGGCTGTTTCATATCGAGTGTTGGTGGAAAGAAAATTGGTTTATATCGTTCAATTGCTTTTGCAATGATATCACAAGTTTGAAGATTAGAATACACTGCAAGATCATTAGGACGAATGTACAACAAATCATTAGAAATATTGATCTGTTGTGGATGTGGCCAAACTGCATTTGGTGCTGATCGTTTTCCCTTTATAATATCTCTTATCTATCATTTTTTTCTCAAAGCAATGACTTACCTTTAATGGATATTTCACTTCAATATAAGTGATTTCACATTGAACATAAACAAAGAATATGACAATCAAAAATTCGAATAGAAGATATTTCATCCTTTACAATGCAACTATACTTTCTACTTGTTATAAATGCACAAGAAGAAACAATCGTTTGATCCGTCGAATCACTAGGCTTACTGTCCGTTTCTTTTTTCTTTTTTGTTTAAACATGCTCGTTCGATGATCGTTGAACAAATATGAATAAATTTACGTCATCAATATAAAGAGAAGCTAAGATAGGAGGTTTTATTTTTCGTTTTATTTTGTCTCTTCAAACACAGACACACACACACACACGTACATATATATATGTTTGATCTGCCTTACTGAGTAGTCGATGACGATGATGATAATACGCATACATTAGCATAAAACACAACAACAAATAGAAAAACAAAAACAGGAGGAGTATTTTAGTAAAATCTTTTTTTCCCTTGATTTAATAATGATGATAATGATTTTGTAGTGCGCAACGTTTTTCGCACTTCCATAACAACAACGAACAATAGTAAACGAAACAGAAGAAAACAAACCGAAAGTTAACAAAAATGCATCAAGATAATCGAACTGCGCATATAATGAAAACAGAAAAGAAGAACATAAAAGACAATCAATGTGTGTATATGTGTCTATGTGTTTGCTTGTTTATTTATTTTTTTGTTTTTTTGTTTTGTAAATGACGACATTGAATTTTTTTATGAGGCAGCTGAATTAGTTGCTGCTTGTTTAGCTGCATAAAGTTGTTTAGCTTGATGAGCTTGAAGTACGGCAATAGCTTCTTCAACCTAACAGAAAACATGAACATAATTTCACATTGAAGATTTTTATCCAAAAAAACACAAACCTTAGCTTTAAGTGATTCACGTGATTCAAGCATATGAAGAAGTTCAGTATTATCAATTTCGAGAAGCATACCAGTTATTTTACCAGCTAATTCTGGTTGCATTTGTTGAATTAAAGGAAATAAACGTTCACCTAACATTTGTTTTTGTTCTTGTGGTGTTGCATTGGCAAGAGCAGCTGGTGTTAATGGTTCTTGTCCAGCAACTACAATTGAATTTGGAAATCCACCTGGATTCTAAAAGAAAAAGAAAAATTTTTCATGTTCAATCCTCTTACAAGGGAACCACTCAAGATGAAGTTCGAATAATTAAGTAGAGCCAGGTTGAGACTAGAAGGATTCTTCCCCATACATTGTCCTTTTAGAGTTATGACCTGATTTGTATCTGCCATTCATAGAAGAATCAAGGCTATCGCGCCGCCATAGATATCTTAGCTGTCTATGGGTAACGTTTTAGACTAAAATTCGTTTTTTCTTTATAAATGCCACACCAAAGATAAAAACTTCATGGTAACGGTTATAACTGTCAAAGGGTTTCGCATAAGAAAGAATTCTTCTCGTCTCAGCAAGTCCTACGTAATGATTGGGATCCCATTTCAATTAGTTTTCTCATTAGTTTGAAATACTTACGCTAGGTGGCATATTTCTTGCCGTACGTGTATAAGCTGTTGCTTGTTGTGATTGTGCACCAGTTTGTGGTCGAACTGAATTATTAGGCATCATTTGACCTGGTGTTGGTGTTGGTCGAGTAGGCATTGGCATGCCTGATCGAGATGCAGCATTAGCCATAGCAGCTGATCGTTGAGCAGCAGCCATAGCTGATTGTGGCATTTGCATACCAATCATTTGTGCACCTGCTGGAGGTCTCATACCACTAGCTGGAGCAGCTGATGACCAACGTGGTTGAGCTGGTCGATAAGTTGGCATTGCAGTTGGTGTAAAGAAATTACGTGGTTGTGATGGACCCATTGGTGCTTGTAAATAAGGCATCATACCACTCATACCATTTGGAAATGGTAATGGCATTTGTGGTGGTACACGTGATGTAACCATACGTTGCATATGTTGATTAGTCAAATGCATACGACGTTCTTCTTTACGTTGTGCTAATGCAACATAGAGTGGCTTAGAACCAACAATAGAACCATTCATTTCTGTAACAGCTTTTGTTGCTTCATCAGGTGCACTAAAGCAAACGAAACCAAAACCTTTTGATCGACCATTTTCTGACATAACCTATATTTAGAAAAAAATTAATGATTCTAAAATATAGAACAATCTAATGAATATACTTTAGCACTTGTAATTGTTCCAAATTTTGAAAATTCTTTTTTTAAACGTTCATCATCAATAGTATCATCCAAATTTTTAATATATAAATTAACACCTTGATATTTATTCATACGTTCTTGTCGTTGTAAATCTTTTTTACGTTTAATTTCAGATAATCGTTCATTTTTCTTTTGAAAGCGACCAACATAAAGTTGTTTATCACCTATTGAATATCCATTTAAGGTTTGAACAGCCTAGAAAATCAAAAACTATTTTATTTATTTGTTGTATTTTGTTTTTATTTATTTTACATCTTCAGCTTCTTCTGGATTTTCAAAACTACAAAAACCAAAACCTTTTGAATGTCCACTTTCATCATTTTCAATCTAAATTAGATTAAATTTTCATTGTTTTTCTATTAGAAAATAAAAAATTATATATATATATATATATATTACTTTAAAACTTAAAATTTTTCCATGTTTTGAAAAAAGTTCACGTAATTTTTCTTCATCTAATTGATCGCCAAAATTTTTTATAAATATATTTGTAAATTTACGTGGTCCACCAGCATCAGCACGTTGATTACGTGACATAAAACGACCAACATAGACTTTTTTGTCAGCTAATAACATACCATTAACTTTATTAATAGCATTATCAGCTGCTTCTTGCGTTTCGAAATGAACGAAACCAAAGCCTTTTGATTGACCACTTTCATCTGTCATAATCTATATAGATATATAAACAAAATGAAAATTATTATATTTTAATATATAATATAATTTTACTTTGCAAGATAATATATTGCCAAAAGCCGAAAATGTATCATAAAGTGATTTATTATCAATATTTTTATCTAAGTTTTTAATAAATACATTTCCAACACCTGATTTACGTAAAGCTGGGTCACGTTGAGACCACATGATACGTAATGGACGACCACGAAGTAAATCAAAATTCATTGTATCAAGTGCACGTTCAGCTAAAATAAATAGAATAGTTTTTTATTTATTTATTAAAATTATTTTGATAATGTCCTATAATTCGAGTTGTTAATAAAAGACTATCGTTTTCTTTTTTATTGGTTTTATTCAATCACACATATTATCTAATTGATAAAGTTAATAAACTTAGACATACCATCGGCTGGTTGTTGAAAGTTGACATAGGCATAGCCAAGTGATCGCCGTGTAATCATATCACGACAGACACGAATTGATAGAACTGGTCCGGCACTTGCAAATTTGTCGAATAACATAGCCTCGGTAACATCCGGATGAAGATCACCTTTTTAATTTAAAAGAAATTTATAAAAGCAACAGAAAAAAAATGACAATCTTCAAACTTACCGACATATAATGAAGCCATTGGATAGCTTGGCCCGCCTGCTGGAACATTGGGTGCTGCCATGTTTTTTATTTTGTTTTTTCTTTTATTTTGTCGTCTAGCGCTGCTGTTGGGTTTTTCGACTTTTTTTTGTTTTGTTTATTGTTAAGGGTAAAATAAAGTTGATAGGGTAGTTAACGTATTTTCTGCTTTTCAAAGAGATTTTACGTTTTTTTTGGTTCACACTAAGGTGAAATTTCAGAAAAGTTTTATCGTTTTTTTTTGTGCTTTTTTTTGTACCAACAAGAGACTGCCCACGCACACACACAACTACACACACACACACTAGTGAAATGGCGAAAGAAAGAAAAACCTGATTAACATGGAATAAATACGTTACAGTGGTGATGTACGATGTAGGCAGCTGAATGAGAAAGAATTATGTTAAATCCGATTTTAAAATTCAAAAATTAAAGAAATATAAATTCTATAATAGAAATATTATTGAATTAAATTTTAAAAATTTTATTTTTGTATTAAATAACTAAAAATCAAGATATTTTTTTTATTTTTTTAGGGTCTCAATGATGATTTTGATTCGTTCATAGTTATTGACCAATTAGAACATCAATTTATGAATCATCGAGTTTTTTTTGTTTCGAACTTTGTTCTTCAATAATATGTTATTTCATAATATACAAAAAGTATTTCTGTTTTCTCGCAATAGAGCGAGTTGTAATAGTCGAATAAAAAATTTCGTCCTCGCTTGATTTATTTTACTCTGACGTCATTGAGAAATGTTGGCGCAAAGAATGAGTCAGACTATGACATGAAATGAATTTCACAATTTAATATTATTCTGTTCAAATTCAAGAACATATTCTCAATGAGTAAACATTTTGTTTCTAAATAATTTTTTTCTCTATTATTTTAAAAAGATAAATACATAGTTTATGTTCAACAAATTTGAATTTATTTTTCGAGTTTGGTTATTGATGACCTTAGTTATCTTGCTTTTATGCTTGAGTTTAAATATATATTTTAACAACTAATCTATCGAAATAAAGATTATTCTATCGTTTGTCAATAATCGCTTGTACAAATTATCGATCAATCACTACTTCTTTCAATTGTAGAACGATGCGACCCACTAAAAACGATTTCGTTTATGAATGATACGCTTAACTCTTTGCCTCCTGTTGAGTCATTTTTGAATCATCCATAGAATCTATTCATTTGGATGAATAAAATATTAGATCAAGATGGTTATTGAATATTATGTCGAGCCTTTAATAAACTATAAATTAAAAAGAAAACTTCTTTTCGTCGTTCTTTGGCAAAGATTTATCAGTTGGAAAGCAATAACTTTTTTCCAATTTATTTATTTATTTATACACACTGATTATGCTTCATGAAAACGTGGATCATTTTTGATTCGTTCGTAAAAAAATAATATGAATCCGAATCAATGATTTCAGATTTTAAAAAGGAAATGAAAGCTAACGATTTCAATACGATCCAGGAAATGAAAAAGCTGATTTCAATGGGAAAATAACAGCCTTTACAAGTGTCTAATCATAAATGTCATTCTCCTCTAAATGACTCATTTTTC